GTGATGCAAGTCACGTAGGCAGAGGGAGCAGGGTTCCCCCTCCCTCAGGAAAGCAGCCAGCTCCAGTTCCCTAAAGAGCCAGGCTGAGGGTGTGGTCCCCTGTGTGCTGGGCCCACCCTAACTGAATGGTCACAGCACAGAGATTTAAATCACAGTGTCACAGGGCAGAGATTTTTGGGGAGAAACCAAGGTGGCTTTCTGCCACAGGCCCAACCCAAAGGCAGCAGTCAGGAAGGAGCACACAGTGGGGAGCTGGTTCTTTGTTCACACAACAGGGATCCTAGGGCAGATTTGTTTCAGATCATTGGTGGTGTTTATGATCTTTGTGTCCATCCTGAGATGTCACTGAGAAGCAAGCCCCACCTACCCATTCCCACACTGCATGTGTGGCTTGCTGGGCAAATGTGTAGTTGCGGTTAGGATGATGCCAAGGGTGCCCAGTGCTGATCCCAGGAGCAGGCCCTGTGACTGAGATCCTGAGAGCATGCTTGGGCAGGCAGCAAAGAGAGACAACAGGACACGGTTCAGCCAGTGGTGCATGAAATACTGGGAACAAATAGGTGAGACTTGTTTCTCAATGACTGTCCTGGTGTCACTGTGAGAGCGGTATAGACTAACCCTGTTGCAGGGACAAAAGACATGCAACATAGACATGGACATGAAACATAAAACGGAAGAACCATATGGGTCACAGACTCCACTCTCCTGCTGTTGCACATAGCCGTATCATGATCCCATTAATTGATTTATCAAACTCCAACTTAAAAGTAGTCAGGCTTCTTGCCCCATTGCTCTTATGGGGATGCTGTTCCACAACTTCACTGCTCTGACAGTTAAAAATGCCCTCTGATTTCCAGTCTAAACCCATTTGTGGTGAGTCTGTAGCCATTTGGTCTTGTGTCAGTACTGTTCCTTAGCTTCAGTAGCTCTTCTCTCGCCCTGATATGTGCTCCCCTGATGTACTTGTGCAGTTATATCTCTCAGCCATTGTTTTGGTAGACTTCACAAGCCACATTCATTTATTCTTCTGTCTCATCAATGAAGTACATAGGGCCTGAGTAACAGGTCCTCTCAGCTGGACACTGGGACTCCAGCAACCAAAGGCATAGACATTTGGAAGTTGAAGAGAGATCTCTGCCCCTTTTTGTTCTTAGATCATAGAAAAACAGGGCTGGAAGGGATCTCATGAAGTCATCTAGTCCAGCTTCCTGCTGAAGGCATGATCATCCCTATTTAAAATCTAGCTATTGAGCATGGGGGTTAGGGGCACAGCCTCTGAATCAGAACTTCCTATATCATAAATGCTGGAGGCTGCAAGTGAGAGGGGAACAGTGGAAAAAACCCTGGTCAGACCCAGTTCACTCCCTTTCAGCCTCTGGTCTCTGCAACTGTGTGACACAGGATACTGGGCAAGATGGACCTATGGTCTCACCCAGTAAATGGCAGCTCTTATTATTCTTAAATCATCCCAGCCAAATATTTGTCTAACCTGCTCTTAAAAACCTGCAATGATAGAGATGCCACAACCTTTTACTTAAGCATCGTTCCACTCTTCCCTAGGCTGCGGGAGCAGAAGAAGCTGCAGAGGCTGCAGAAACGATTGAACCTGTGGAAGCAGAGGAGCCTTCTCCCCAGCCAGCAAAAGAACAGAAGCTCACCAACCAGTTCAACTTTTGCGAGAGGGCCTCGCAGACATTCAACAACCCGCTGCGGGTGGGCTGCCACTGCTGTCCCTTTCGGAAATACATGAGCACTTGATGTTCAAATTCTTCCTTTGTGAATGGAGAGCAGACAACCAAATCCATGTCCCGCCTGCAAAGATTAGAGGGGGCAAGAATGGTCATCTATGTAAAATGCTGGGATGGGTAAGATGGTGATGGAGGGAAATGGTCACTGGCTGGATTGTAGTGTGTTCTCTCCAAGGGTTCTAGGGTCACCATACGAATGGAGAGTAAAATCACAGCCCTGCCCCTGTACTGGGTATAGTTTTGTTTGCATATTCTTTCCCTCTCTCCCTGCTGGGAACTGAAGACCTCTAGGCAATTTCCACAGCTGGAGTCTTTTGTGAGACAATGCTTTTGCTAAGTGAGGTGACATTTTTACTGCTATTCACTCTTTGAATTTGTTTTTTTTTAATTTCCAGGAAAGAGCATGTCAGATGGAGCCTCCTCCTAGAGCCAACTTTTCAGCCACTGCTAACCAGGTACGCAGTAGTTCTTTTACTGTCTGTTTAAGAAAGGAGGTCAGGGGGACTGTAAGGAAATGGAGAGAAATATCATATTTACCTGAATCCAAGATGACTTCGAATTTAAGTTGACTACCCCCTCCCTATTATATTCTGTACATGCTGATGGGAGTGGGGAAAGCACGTCTTGGTTTTGAGAAAATATTTCATAGATTTCATAGACATTTGGGCTGGAAGGGACCCTGGAGGATCATCAAGTCCAGCCCTCTGCCCCAGGGGTAGGAAGTCAGCAGGGATCATAGGATCCCAGCAAGATAAGCATCCAAATATGTCTTGAAGACGTTCAAAGTGGTGCTTGAACTGCCTCCGGCGGCAGGCTATTCCAGACCTTGGGGGCTCGGACAGTGAAGGAGTACTTTCTTATGTCCAGCCTGAATCGGTCACGGTGGAGTTTGTGACCATTTGATCTTGTCATCCATTGGGGCGCTCTGGTGAACAGGCATTCCCCCAGGTCCTGGTGAACACCCGTTATAAACTTGTAGGTGGCCACCAGATCCCCCCGATCCTGTGCTTTTCCAGGCTGAAGAGTCCCATGGCTCTCAGCCTGTTATCATAAGGTCTGTTTTCCTGACCTCTGATCATGCGCGTGGCTCTTCTCTGGACTCTCTCAAGCTTCTCCACGTCCTTTTTGAATTGTGGAGCCCAAAACTGGATGCAGTACTCCAGCTGTGGCCTCACCAAGGCTGAGTACAAGGGGAGAATGATGTCCCGGGATTTGCTTGTGAAACATCTCTGGATGCAAGCCAGCATTTTGCTTTCTTTACTAGCCGCAGCATCACACTGAAGGCTCACGTTCATCTTGTGGTCACTCATGACCCCCAAGTCCCTTTCATCTGTAGTGCTAACCAGCGTAGCACTGCTGAGCCTATAAGGATGCTGCAGGTTTTTCCTCCCAAGGTGGAGAACCTTGGGTTTTTCGGTGTTGAACACCATCAGGTTCTCGTCCGCCCATTTGCTGAGCCTGTCAAGATCCTCCTGGATCACCTGCCTGTCCTCAGGTGTGGATGCTTTACCCCAGAGTTTGGTGTCATTGGCAAACTTGATTTGTACTGATTTAAGCCATCTTGTTTATATTAAAAATATAAGCAGAAGGCATTCAGATACTTTGATGGTAGGCCCAAAAACAAGACCTAACAGAATAAGAATGTCATATGTTTGGTTGTCCATACTTTTTCCGTCTTAGTTATAATAAATAAACCTGTTAAGGGCCCATGTCTCTAATGGCAAGTCTTAGAGATTCTAGGTCCAGCTGTTGGCCACTTCCCAGTCAGCTATGAGCCAGCCTGGCAAACTTATACCCTTTGCTAACCCTGAATGGATTGTCTAGTATATAGAAAAGGAGCCTCCAGAGATTTTCTTCCCATTCCGTGGAGTTTTTAGGAGCGCTTACAAGCATTTGAAATGTGTAGAATTGTTTTTCCATCCATTGCCTAAACCATCTCAGAGAGCAAAAGGCCACAGTTGTAATAATGAGTGAAACCACAGGCAGGACTTGTTGTAAAAAAAACCATGGAGGGTCAGATCTAGATCCAGGCTAGATACATTTTATTTAAGTCCTTCAAAGGCAGCAAGACTATGCCAGTTTACTCAGATTAAGATCTGTCCTGAATTAATACATGGTATTTTCTGTCTTAAAATTTTTTTTTGAAAAACATAATTTGTTAGGACAGTGGTTTTCAACCTTTTTTCACTTGTGGACCCCTAAAAATTTCTAATGGAAATTTTTTCATTGTGGACCCCTTTGCATTGGAAGGGGAGTATTCACATACTTTTGATTGATCGTAGTCATCTTTCATGGGCCCTTAGACATAGTCTGCGGCCCTCCAGCAGTCCGCAGACCCCAGGTTAAAAACCACTGGATGACATGTTTTACACCTGGAGCTCATTATTACTTGCACTGTATATGGAATCCAACCACGTTTACCGATTGCTTCATAAATGCTCAGCTGGTGTGTTTGTGATTTTTACTGATATGGAAATAGGCCCAATTTGTGTTGGTTGGTCCATTGTATGAGAGACGCATCAGTGTGCAAAACAAGGTATTAGCTTGACTACATTAACTGAGAAACTCTAATAGAAATATGTGGTAGAGAAGAGAAATTCACCTTTATTTTGTGGAAAAAATGTGTTCCTATTTATTTCTTAACTGTAGTTCATAGCATGTAGCTGGCTGAAGGAGTTCTCTTCTGGCCCTTTTCTGATAGTAGGATAACCTGAGAAATTGGGAGAATGGACCTGTTAAATGAATCGAGCCATACCTGAACGTTTAGATGAAAACATTGAAAATCGGGAGGAAATGTTTCAGCTCTGTCTTTTTATCCACTTATGGAATGAAATGTGTAAACAGACTCTCACTTAATCAGTTCTCTTTTTTTCTGTTGCTCCCTATGTTTTCCATACGCTTCCTTCAAGCTTTTGTGCTTTTCCCACTCCTGCTTTCACATTTCCTTTTGTAGCACTCTAAATGTTTGAAACTTTCTCTGACTTCTTGCCCTCTTGCTTCCTTGCCTTACTGCTCTACTGCATGTATTTGGTGAAGCCTTTTACTTCCCTTCTCCTTTTTGTGTTTGAATTATAATCTATCAGTCTGGTCTTTCTGAATTAGACTGGAAAGCATCTTGGAGCAGGTATTTTGTTTTTGCATATTTATAAAATGTTAGCTCTGCTCTTTATAATATAGCACTCCATAAATAATGGATAATTTCCGAACACAAGAAAAAATACTCACGGGTTCATTTAGGGAAGGCATTCCATATATGTGAGGTTCTGCAATGCAGGAAGCCTTTTGAAAGCTTGACCTGGTTTTGGACTGCAGGGCCAATGTCCAAGTTTTAGGTTCTGTTGCGCAGTTACAATGGGATTTTGTCATGCAACATTAGAAATTATTGAGGCAAATGCTTAATGCACTTGTCATTTACTGAATATGGGAAAAAATGAACCCATTGTACAGGGAAGAGGTGGAGTCAGAGTACTAAAAAAAGCCTGTCAGATTCCAGTGAAATCTGTGAATTCTGCTAAATACCTTGTCACAAGGACATAAAAAGGAAAGAAAAGTTGTAAGGAGATTGCCTGTAAGTCCCATCTCTTTCTCTGTCTCTCTCAGTGGGAGATTTATGATGCTTATGTGGAGGAACTTCAGAAACTGGAAAAGTCAAAGGAGAAAGAGAAGCAAAGAGCCCTAGTTACAAAGAAAGAAGACAAGAGGAGGGGAGGAAAGTTGACCTCTCTAGAGTCTCAGGTATGTGCCATATGTTCATTTGATAACTTTTGTAGGAACATGAATATCGTGGCAATGGCTGCATCTGTAGCTGAAAGCTGGCTACATTTGTATGGTGGTTAGTCTTCCCAAAGTTCAATTAAGGTGTTGTAGGAAAGCCAGAGATTATTGTCTGACATTTACACTTGTGGGTCTGAGTCCTCTTTGTGGGAGTACAGCCATACTACAGCCATAGCACACAGCTATACCAGACTATGGATGCCCTCCACCTGTTTCCTGAAGCTTTAATTTCAAGGGGCACAGCTTCTCCGATCAGCTGTGTGAGAGCACTGATGAGCTCTGGCAGTGAAGAAGCAGCACCCTGTGGAATAAAAACTAGCAAAGGGCGAAGCGTCTTGTCCTTAACTCAGCAACCTGCTATAAAGTGGACGACCAACCACCCAGACAAGCAAAATCTGCTTGCTCAGTCCCCAGCCCACGGGCCAGATCCAGCCCCCTGGTGCCATGTAATCCAGCCTGTGGAGCTTCCTATGGATCTCATGGGGAGCCCTGAAGGCTGTGGTCCTGTGTGATGCATCGAGCATGCAGAGTGGCACAGGGCCCAATCCTGGTGTGCGAGGGCCAGGGAGGGGCAGTGTGGGAGCCCTAGAGCCCCATCGGTGGCAGTGCAGAGCCCCCAGAACCTGATCTCAGGTGGGTGGAGGCCATATGGAGCCACAAAGCCCGATCCCAGCTCAGCAGAAGGAGCACGGAGTCCAAATCTGGCCGGGGTGGGGGTGGGCCACACAGTGCTCCCAGAGCCTGATCCCAGGAGGCCATACAGAGTTTCCAGAGTCCCATCCTGATCCAGCAGAGGCAGCATGGATCCCCCCAAGAGCCTGATCCTGGCCAGTGGAGGTGGCGTGGGGCCTGATCTGGCCCACAGGCCAGCCCTGCACTATTCATCTGGCCCATAGGGCCAAACTGTGAGCGGCACTGGTATAATTGATCCCATGTTTTCAGAGATTTTTTCCCCCCAACTATAAATAGATGATAATTAGGGATAATGACCATGAACTACTCTGGACTTTCCAAAATCCAACAGGCGAGTCAGATAACTAAAGAAAGAACCAATAGGGTTAAATGCACTTGAAAATATGAAAATAAAAATGACACTGAAAAAATGTCAAGATGGGGTATTTTTATTGCATGCACAAGAATCCTGCAAGTTCAGAAGTCAAGACAGTTAGGACCTGATTCTAAGTCAACCTTGCCTATAAATCAAGTGCGATTTTTTAATGGGCCTTTTGGAAGAAAAAAAAGGTAGCTTTATCATCAGAAATACTGCATGTGCTGGAGTAAGGACTACTTCCATTGATAAGGATAGGGCCCAAGTCAACAATGTCATTACTTGCCTAGAAGGATGGGACTGCCAAAAGCAGGTCATTAAAATGAAATGGGGAAATGTACCAATGAGGCTACATTAATACAAACTGCTGCATGCTTCATTGACCACAGCAGAAAGCTTAAAATGATACTTTGATGATCCCATTTAGTATTTTCCTTTTCACTGTTAACGCTTTCCAGACATGATCCCAGAAAAGCTGAAAGAGTAGTCCGTTTTGTACAAGTGGAAGGAAACATTTCTTTTTGTCATCCAGGATCAGTCTGCAGAATTCAGAGCAAAGAGGTGCCAGAACCAAATTCCAGGGGTATACAAGGCACAGGCAATTCCCTAATAGCTAGCACTGGGGCTGTGCAAGCAGAAGTGAAATGTGGAGCAGTACCTTGTTCCTTAAGTGGTCCCTCTGAAGGTACAGCATTGAGGGCTTCAAAACCAGAAGATGGGGCGTAAGGTCAGTAAAGAGGGGGAGAATGGCAGTGGGTTGTACTCAAGGAGAAGTATCAGTCTGGAGGAAGCTTACTAGTGGAGTCTCAAGGATCGATATTGGAACTAATCATATTTAATATTTTCATTAGTGACCTTGGCTAGCGTGTGTAAGTCAGACTTGCTGATGATACAAGGCTGGGAAGCACTGTCAACAGTTTGGAGGACTGGAATATGGGAAGAGCTGAATGATTTTGGGGCCTGGAAGAATAAAAATGGGATAAAATGTCTTCTTTGACAATCCCTCGCAATTGAGGATAATCGTCTTCCATGATTGTCTTATCTGTGGGTCTGAAGATGGCTTTTGAGGCCTATCCAGGACTGATAGACTCTGCTGCAGTTCAGACATGTGTTTCCATGTAGGGTGGGTGGTGCTGGAGTCTTGATTTGCTCCATGACACGCTGTTTCTGCTGCTCCCGCTGCTCCTGCTTCTCCATTTCTTGTTGTCATGAGGTTTCTAAGTACGGAGAACCCTGCAGCAGACTCTTCCTCCTTTTGGGATGGTCCTGGGCGATAATGTCCGATGAGTTGGCATGAGATGAAATAATAGGATAAAGTACAAGTGTATGCACTTAAGGACTAATAACAAAAAATATGCTACAAGCTGAAAGCTTGCTAGTTGGAAAGAGCGGAGAAAAGAAAGACTTGGCTGTCCTACTCAGTCACATAATCACTTGGAGACCAGTGTAATAGGAGGATAATCAGGGGAAAGGGAAGGATGAAGGAACAAAAAGAGCTTGGCCTAATTAGCTAGCAAAACAGAAGCTGAGAGGGGATCTGTCATCTGGGGGCAACACTAATAAGGCAGAGGAGCTAGTTGAGCTACAGAACAGTGTTGGCACAAGAACACATAAATAGGGACAAACTGGTCATAAACATGTTTAAGCTGGAAATTAGAAGTTTTTAACCATCAGAACAGAGTAGTCGGGCTGAAAAAAACTAAGAGTTTGAAGATGAAGCGCAGCAAGAAGTGAAAGAAGGAAACTGTATGACTTCCTGCCTGTGACAGCAGGACACTGGGCTTGGTGACCCAAGACATCCCTTTCAGTTCTGTGGTGCTGTGATGCCATTTTTCCTTCTACTGTTTTGCCTGACTGGATAATGGAGGTATTGTAGGGTAGCCTTCCCAAATCCGTAAGTGAGCAGTGGCACACTCCATCGCATAGCTGTGGTGAGCAGTTCACGGATGATCCATGCTCTCCGGGTTCCTGGCTTAATAGCAGTCAGTTGAGGCCTGTGAGCCAGTGCTGGATGAGTAGATCCCCGCAGCTTAGCCACAGACATGGTCTCTTTGTGGAACCAGCTGTTGGGAGCAGCACCTCTAGTACTTGATCCCAGGAGTCCCAGGTAGCTCCATGGCTGGTCAACACTCAAAGCCAGCAGCTGTTATTCTAAGCCTGTCGCTAGACTTTTGGCTCCCAGATTCAGTGCATCTCAAGTGCACATTTTGGCTCCAGACCTTTGATGGGTATCTTGGTTCCTATTCTAGGCCTTTAACCCTCAGCTTGTACCATGGTCCCAACCTTGGCCCTACCCACTGGGCTACATCACATCTACTGTGGTCCCAGACTCACAGTGTGAAAATACTTCCCCTGGAGACTGCCTGTTGGCGATGCTGTGTTGGCAATGAGCAGGGATGCCGTGAGAATGTTAGCCCCCAGTAAGTGCTCATGGAGGGTTCCCTCTTACACGTTAAAGATCCTTCGAAGCAGAGAGGTCTGGTGTTGTAGCTTGGTTGTCAATGGAGGTGCCAGCCATTACTTAATTGGCATCAACGGGATTCTTGCATACTGTTTTTTTTAATCCGGGTTCCTGATTTAATAGCAGTCAGACAGCAGTCTCCTGGACACCAGCAGAATCCTGCTTTGTTAGTAGCTGAGCAACCAGGCTAATGGGGTTATACACTGCAACCAGCCAGCCGCTGACCAGCAAATGCAAAGCACTTATTGAAAAGAAACATGATGGCTAGGCCAAGCCATCTATTTCCAGACTCCCAGACCATTATCCAGTCAGAACATATGATTCCATTAACGTTATTGCTCTTCCAAATATAATTTACTTAAACCCAAGCAGCATAAATCAGTTTGGTGGTGGGCTGGGGATTGTAGGCAGAACGTCAGCCCAGAAGCAGCTCACAGAGGGGGAATCCTTTTCAGATGGGCCTTTTTAAAGAGATCAGTATTCCACTGAAGAGCAAACCTAATCAGATCCTGAATAATCAACCTTGAAGCAGCCAATTGGAAAGCTGCTGCCTTGGGTTTAGGTTAATGCCATGCGTGCTGTTATTCAGGGCTGCTTGGCTGAAAAGCTTCAGCCTAGCTAGTTAATAAGAAAACTGACCTACGCCCCTTCTCGTCCTTCTGGACCATTTTTTCTGCATTGCAGGGTAAACGCTTTTGAATCTCCAGTTTCTGTAAATAAAGGCCCTGTGAGCAAATGGCCTCACAGCTCCTCTGAAGTCAGTATAAGAGGCTGGCGGGTTTTCCTTGAAGCAGATCTGATTTTGCTGAGAATGAGTTACCGGGTTTTGCCGAAGCAGGCGGCCCCTTGGGTAGAAGCGAGGTCAGAGTGGCCTGCTGAGAGAGGGGATCTGGGCTAAGCCATCTGGAGAAGGGGGCCCGAGGAGGCTGTGGCTGCCTGTTTTCATTGAATCTTTGATTTCTTAGTGCATATAACCAGACCTGAGGAAGGGGGGGACTTGGAGCCACAGCACTGTGTGGGTTGTGCCTGCCTGTCCTCAACTAAAGGGATATTTTGACACCTTGTCAGCAGTCACCACTGCATCCAGATGATGTTACTTGGAGGTGCCGGCTGGTCTGCGGTAGTGAAGGAAGGAGGAGCAGGTAACTCTGTAGCTTCAGAAAGAGTGAGTGCTGAGCTCACACACCCACATCTTCCATAGCGAGGGAGGGGGCCAGAGCAGGGCTGGACTTAGAGAGAAGTACATCGGCATCCCAACCTTGCCATCTCACAAACTCCAACTAGGCAAGTATCCCCGAGAAGAGAGAATGGCGAACCGTACCCTGAGCACAGCTGCTGCACTTTCCCTGGTAGCTAATCGCAGAATCCCAGAAGGGGATGCAGCCTTGATTGCCAGGGTCGCAGAGTCATGCTGAGAGCACTAGAAATGTATAAATATCTTGCATGGGCATGGAGAGGGCAAGGCTAGGCAGCCTTTCAGACCAGGAGCAGCAGCTGTCTGTGGGGGACAGGAAGTCCTTGGTGCCTTCTCCCTCAGTTACGCTATTCCAGGGTGCAGAAATAACGGAGACTTTCATGGGATTGTTTGTAGCAACACCCGCTAGTTTTCTTAGGATCATCTTTACTGCCTCGACTCTAGAGTGAAGTGGACAAGTTAGAACCACGCTGCCTACACATGCTCTTTCACAAGCAGATATTTGTGGGCCCGTCCTGCAATACGTGTCCAACCAATGTAGATCCATGAAGTTTTTGTGGACATGGTTATTGTTCTCTGGCATCTAGAGGTTTTCAGTCAAGGTCTGCGTACAGATAGACTGAAGACCTGACGGTGAAAGTCTGTGCCTGTATTATACTGACACAGTTCATATGTTTGATTCCCTGCTCCGCTTTGTACTTCCTATGTTGATGATCCTGCTTCAGGCAGGGGGTTGGACTAGATGACCTCTGGAGGTCTTTTCCACCCCACTTCTCTGATTCAATGATTCTTGCATGGCAAGCTCTTTGGGTCAGGGAGATGGGGTCCCCCTGAGTCTGCACAGTACCCAACACAGGCACGGGTGGGGTGACATGAATCTCTAAGCTGAGACCTCTTGTGCTGTCTGCCAGGGCATGGCTGCAGGTATTTGTGACTAGCAGTGCTGTAAGGGTGGTAGCACTGGTGAGCACTTTGGGGTTAGTAAAGCTTTCCTCAAGCTTCTGATACTGGATACATGTTCGGTGTGATGGCAGGTAGGCTGGAGGAAGGAGCATGGGTCTGGGCGTCAGGAGATCTGGAGCTGTATTCCTCACTTTGCTGTCTCTTCTTCATTGCCTTTGGCAAGTTGCTTCACCTTCCTCTCTGTAGAAGAGGAGGGCAGTAGTCCCCCAGAGCGATGGCATGGATTAGTTCATGTTTACAGCACTTTGAATATGGAATGAAGCACTCTGTAAATGCTGGTGCATTGATGCACTCCAAACCACAGGGGATGCCCTACTGGAGCCTTTGTACCCTAACCGTGTTCTGGGGAGGGAAGCTTTGGAGGTGTGGATGGGCCCATGCTGTACCCTACGGAGGTATAGACACAAACTCCATGGCAGTTGCTTGGAGGTCTCTGCACCCACCCTTTTTAAACAAGTCACTGTTACCCTGATGGACTTGGTACAGTTACCATTTACCTGTAGGTAGGATTGAGCTATGGGTTTGGACTGCTCCAGACTTTGGAGAAGGGGGCAAGTGAAGGGGATCTGGGCCCTTCCCTGGAATTGCAACTGAGAGATGGGTCTGAAAAGCAGCTCTCTCCCCTTTGTTGCCCCTGTGTTCAGCATCATACTGTGCATCTTGGTGCATTTGTTGTGCACAGCAGCACTGACCATAAGGACAGGATTTTCCACAAAGGGAGGGAGGGCCCAGGTTCTCAGTGACTTTCAGCCTTGTGCCTGCTGTGCCTTTGAACATCCCCAGCACGACGTGCGACTCCTACAGCACAGGCTATTATTGTTTGTTGCTGTTGATCTGTGTGTCTCTCCAGCTGGACTTGCCAGTGATTTTCTAAAGAACATCTAGATCCTTTGCTCTTGGTTATCTACATTGGACCTGAAGACCCCTGGACTAGAGACTTCATGTTAGGGGGTCTCCAGTAGATGCTAGTTTTAGGGAGCTAACTTCTCGTTTGGTTGACACATCCAATATAAAATCTCTCCTCCCTTTTGTCCTTGACAGAGCGATGATGTAACCAAGGTGACAAAGGCAGCCAAAATCATGGAGCGGATGGTGAATCAGAACACCTTTGACGACATTGCACAAGGTAAAGCCCCCACAGCAGGGAGGACATTCACACTCAAAGCACCACCTCTGCAGAGGAGGGTAGTGGAGGGCTGCCACCTGGGCTGTTAGGTGCCCAAGTCCCATTCGGTCATGGATGGGTGTCTAATTCTGTCAGACTCCAGCTGTAATTGATCCAGATTGACAACTCCTTGGATCAGGCCATCAATCAATGTCATGCTGCTGATCATTTCCTCAAGGAAGTCATTAGCTACTCAGCATTGCGACTATGCTTGGTTCATTGACTGCTGTGGATCATTGCCTGGATGCAGGGAAGGAAGAGGACTAGCTAGATACAAAACTCAGCAGAATCCTTTTTTGCTCTTGAGACACTTGGATGCTATGGACCTTTTCCTGTATCATTGCAATGTGAAGAGCTTTTGGATCCAGCTATCAAATACCACTTCATTCCATGTAACAGTGCCATCAGCACTAACAGTCTCCTCCAAGGCCACCATGGGCTCGATGTGACCCAAAGGTTTCAGTACAGCCTTTGGTCACCTCTGTTTTTAAAATCCACAGGCTAATTCCAGCATGGATTAGATCCTTTATGCAAACATAATGCTGTGCTTCATTTGGGTCAGCACAGCCAGCTAACATACCCCACAGTGCCAAGCACTGGCCAAACTTGGGGAGATGCATTTCTTCCATATAGCCTAGAGGCAGGCACCTTAAAGCTTCCCACCCCCGGCAGAGACCCCTGTATCAGGGTGCAGCATTCTGTTTTGTAGGACTGTTTCTTAATGGTTGGAGTGAGAGCTGGGAGTCAGGACTCTTAGGCTCTCTTTGTAGCTCTTTTGCAGAACTATGTGACCTTGCATAAATCACTTTCATTGCCCACATCCTCAGGTGTCCCCTCCGAAAAGGAGCTGGTAACAGCTCTGTGCCTTCCAAGGCCATTGAAAGGACAAATTAATTAATGGGAACTTGTGAAGTACCCTAACATCAAGAAAAAGCACTAGCGAAGCATCTAGGATTATTATTTATTCATACACCTAATAAAACACATCAGTATGGCAGCATTCAGGTGTTTTACTTCTCAACCCTCAGAACAATTACAACCAAGGAGGCATTTTCTGGCTGAATTATGTGTTGTCTCGATTCAGACAGAAGACCTGCCGCTAGTAGAAGGGTGATGTGATATATTGGAGCAGGTCTTTGGCTGGTATAATTCTGCTGACTGGGAGCAATACTGATTTACACTCACTGAGGATCTGTCCCATTGCCATTCTGACCATTGCAGAGCCTCCCTGTGGTTGCAGGGGAAGGGGGAGAGATCTGTGCATGGAGGTACTGGGAGAGCATGCCTTCTTCCCCCGGGTCCTGTATACCACGAGCATACTGCTGCTTCACAAGATGTAGGGAGGCCAGTCCCTTCTCTCAGCGGGCTCGCAACCCAGAGTTCAGGGGAGACAACAGTTTTTGGTAGTTCCCAGACTCAGATCCTTAACAAGACAGAGAACAGAGTGCTTAAGAATCAGGTGAGGAGGGCAGCAGAGAGGGGCAGGGCAGAGGTCAGTGGAGGAAGGCTTGGTCCAGGGCTCAGTATTAGAGATGATGGATACTTCACACAAGAGAAGGAGGCTGTTCCAGGCAGGAAGGGGCCAAATCCTGAGGGCGAGGAGAGAGAATAGCAACATGGAGTAGCATGAAGTGGGTAGTGTGAAGGGCAAGAAAGAACAGGTATTAAAGTATCAAGACACAAGTGTCAGTGGAGCGGGAGACCTACTAGAAGGCAAAAAGGTTGGCAAATTCCAGTCATCCAGGGGATGTACAATGCCAGCACTGCTCTGAGCAGATGGGAACCTATGTACTCATTTGGCAGCCATAGGGTCACTGGAAGACTTCCTTGAATGAATCTAAGCACCCTTAGGCCCTGTCTGTCTCTGTTTCTCTCCTCTTCCTAACACCTGAATTCCTGACAGGTGTTAGGGGCAGGGCCAAGCTTTCTTTAACATTTGTACAGCACCTTGCACTTTTGTCCAGACTCCCAGAAAAAATCGCAGCAATAACAGTCTGTGCCTCCAAATGCCTGACAAGGTTTTCAGGGGCTCTACTGCTGCCATGAAAGAAAGTAAGCCTGCCAGTGTCTGGCTGTGTCACTCACTTTGGACAAGTCATAGATTCATAGATTCATAGATTTAGGGTCGGAAGGGACCTAGTAGATCTTCTAGCCCGACCCCCCACCAGGGCGGGAGAACAACAAAACCCCAAAACAAGAAACGGGACTCAAATGAGTCCAGCCAGGTAGGCATCCAGCCTCTTCTTAAAGACCCCCAGGGTAGGGGCCAGCACCACTTCCCTTGGAAGTTGGTTCCAGCTCCTAGCCGCCCTAACTGTGAAGTAGTTTTTGCGGATGTCCAATCTATACCTCCTCTCCATCA